AGCACATTTCAAAAATCAAAACCTTTCTTTAACTCGTTTTATACACTGTATGGTACTGTGTGAGTGAAACCTGGAATTCTCGAAGTAGGAAAGTCATAGTTAGTCAGTTGTTTTTGTTCTGAAACTAATGAACAAGACTTATAGTTCAGATTTCAGATGCTCTCTTCAAGTTTGCTATCTACTTCTACGAGAAAATTGAGCATAAAAGTTAGAAATAAATGATCTACGCTTGCGTGAAGTAAAAAAACATTATGACATTCTGGAAACTTCGTATCCGCTTTAATTTATCTTAACCCAATAAAAATTATTCATATACTTCTCTTTGGCAGATCGAGCTCGATGTGAAGCACTCGAAAGCAAATACACCGTGACAGGAATTCCATGCTTGATTGTTCTTTCTTCATTCGGCCAAGTTATAACTTCAAATGGTGTCCAAGAAGTATACCAAAACGGTGCTGATGCTCTCAGGCAATGGTCAGCAGGCAAGTGTTTTTCTTTTTTACTTGTACGCCGTACAAATGGCAACTTGTGTTGAATAGTGCATCATGCAAAGTATCAGATAATTATACTTTGTTCTACTTGAAGCTGTCCCAGTTATAGGTCGATTAATTATTTTTCAGCTCTAACTAATTGAGCTTTCGCCACAAATTCAATTATTGACAAGTAGGAACCCTGAATACAACTCGCAGTAGAGGTTATAACTAAGTTATAACTATTAACTATTTCAACTGAATAAATATGAGTTGTTTGGTCGCAAGGATTCAGATGTCGGAAAATAACAGTGCCTTGTTGCTATTGTGGACTTGAAAACTTAGACCGTATCTCTTTTTGAGAAAAATTGTTTCTTCCCCACTGAACGCAAATGTAACTAGTAGTGATGCGGTTAGTGTGCGTGACTAGTGTAGCGTAAAGATTTATTAACCTCCATGTAGAATTATCGAAGGTTCATTGTCATTGGTAGATGTGCACCAAATGAATCTGAGTTGCTTGTTCCAAATGAAGATATCATGCTAGCTTTGATTTATGGAAGCATCTATTATTCATAAACTCTAAGAGACCACTATTTGTTTCCCAAACAATAGTAGACAACAGGTAAAACTACTCAGACGTTATGCCTTGTCTTTTCAGTAATGATCTGCTGCATGAAGAATTTCTTTTAAAGTAATCAAAATGCAAATGAAGTTTCAATATGAAGTAGTGTGACATTTTCGGCGAAAACCTGTTTCTGTCTGTGGAAAAATGTCTACTCACGAGTCATCGTTGGTTTTAGTCATAGGCCGACCGTTTTAATTAAGGGCTGCTTTTCGAACGATTCCAATCCCTGCGTTAAAAGAACCTGAACATTCTCATATCTCTAAATGGATAAACCCTTTTGGAACAGTTTTAAAGAGCAACTCTAAAGTAAAATTTTCATTCTTACATTTCACGTCGCTTTTATCGCTGAAAATTATCCGAATGAACGTCTAATTATGCAACTACGTAGTTTTCTTAGTCATAAATAATGATGGGCTAATGTGGCTCTTCTTGCATGCGTGGCCTATTTTTCTAATATCACCAACCGAGTGTTTAACAGATCAGAGTTATGTAACTCTCTGAAGTTTCGTTTTCTGGTAATACATTCGTACCTACAGAAGTTCACGAGAATTGCTCGAAGTTCTTGAGAACACACGTTTATGCACATCAGTCCTTCAAAACATCATAAAGGTGTTGTGGATGTGGGCTACTATCGATATCTTTTTGTAAAAAGTTGAATTGTCCGATTGGTATATACAGCGTTTTTCAGTCAATCGAAATCGTATTCATACTCATTGGTAACATTCATACGAAGTTGCAGCATAAAGTTAAATTTATAAATATCAATAATCACATGAGATCTCAATAGTAATTTCTGAGTAGTATCTTATTTTTAAACTTTCATGGATATACTCAATGCATTTCGTGTCTTCAATCGAACACTAATCGGTGGCAGACAGTCGAGTTCAGAACTATAATAGCTCAATCACAATAGAGAGAATCGCTAAACGCTTAGAATACAAAGGTAGCATGAGTCTCGTGGTTGAACACGTTCTGTTTATAGCCAAATCCCTATGAAGGACGTTCTGTCTTCGCTCAATCGTGGTATGAAATATATGTAGTGTCGTTGAAACACATCTTGCAGCTCATATCATTCTAGTTTTTGAAGCGTTCGATTTTCTCTTTTTTGCAAGTGTAGCAGATCAAATCGTAACGACACCGACAACAACACCAACATCCTCAGCAGCAGCTGCACTTTCAACTACAACGACAGGATACACGACAACGAATACAAACATGGCAGCGACAGCGACCACGACAATATTCAGTGAATTGCTCGGCCAACGATTACTAGAACATAGTACTGATGAGGGTGTTAACATTGATAGCTGCATAGCCACAAATTTACTCGGTCACAAAACGATTGGTCTCTACTTTGCGTAAGTTCACTCTCGTATCATCAATACATAAATTCGGTTTTTCAGAGGTCACTGGTGTCCGCCTTCCCAAAAGTTTACACCTATACTGGCGCAAGCATATAACAACGCTTACAACGATGTGAAAGACAATTTTGACATCGTATTCATATCCTCAGATGACGACCAAGATGCTTTCGACAACTATTACCAGCAGATGCCATGGAAAGCATTGCCATTCATGGGTAAGTCGTTATTTTTTTCGAAGCAGAATCTAAATGCTATTCATAATTGAGATTGTTTCTTCTTTTATACATTCGAGTCATCTCTTTAATGATAGTGGCTTTGATTTTTCAGCTATTCAACTCTTGCATTGTTCAATGTTTCACAAGCTTCTCATCATTAAACGCAGCGAAGGATGAAAGAGAAAAACAGTTTCAGCTTATCGCTGATATTGCTACGATACTACAGGGTTCTCATTCGTTTAGTTTATATCTGAGCCATTGAAAAACATGAGATCTTATTTTGCTCCTATGGTATTGTCTTAGAGAGGAGGTTAGAAAAAAAATAAAGAAGGCCTACTTCTCGAATTTAGACCTGCCCTGAGGCATTTCTTTCGGTGTATGAGTGTAAGCATGAGTGAAATCTGATATCATCAAACTACGGCAGTTAGAGATGGTCAGTTGCTTCAACTCTCTGACGTACGGAAAAAGACTTATAGTTCAAGTCGCGAAAGTTCTGGTCAGTTGCAATGTCTATTTTTGCGAGAAAATTCCGTATTAAACATGGAGATAAATCTCGTAAGTCTCTTTGAAGCCAAGAATGCGTCAATGTTTTGATCACTCCAGAACTGCTTTATTTTTCTTGAACAGATAGATAGTGTTCATTTTCTCTCTTTCGACAGATCGACATCGTTGGGACGAACTGAAAAGGAAATTCAATGTCACAGGAATTCCATGCTTGATTGTTCTGTCTTCATCAGGGCAAGTTCTTACTTCAAAAGGTGTCCAAGAAATATACAAGTACGGCGCCGACTCTATCCGACAATGGTCCAGAGGCAAGTATTACTCTCTTTTTGTACATCAAACGAAGGAGAATATGAGTGAAATGGTATTCCGTGCAATTTATCATATATTCATACTCTTCTACTTGACATTGTTCGAGTTGTAATGCGTGTTATAAATTGAATTGTAACTGATTTCTCTTTTGAGTTCGAAGTTTGAATTAGTTAAAACGAACAACCACGATCACATGCAACATCAGAATTTACTACTAGGTTTTAGCTATGAACTAGTTTTACTTGATGAAAATAGACCATTATGTTCCTACGATCTGGTTGATGAAAAAAGAAAACGTCGTCGACATGTAGTATGATTTGATCCTACAATCGACCTGCTTTTGAAAAAACGAGCTTCATCTCTACAAAGTATACCAGTAACTGTGGCTCTCACAACCAATTTTAACGACTTATGTAACGTACGTACTCATCGAAGTCAAAGTACAGTTACTAAATCTTGTTTATTATCGATGAAAGAGCACAAAATTAATCAGATCTATATTTTAAAAATCATGGCATCATGAATATATAGCTTTGTAGAAATAACTGCTGTTGCTAGGCCCTAAAAGAGAGCTTTCTTTGGCTGAAGTGATACTAGCTAGCTGTCAAAGCCACTTAATATTCATGTTTGCTCCTTTCATTGATAGTTTGTTGTATAACAAACTTTGTTAAAGAAACTAAAAACTAAGCTNCATGATTTTAAAATGCAATCGATAGCTTGATGAGTGAATATACGCTTAAAGAGAGTAATTGATAATTTATAAAGAAAAAAAGATCAATCACGAACGAAAAGAAGATGTACAGTCAAATGTTCGACAATATGGGACGAGGAGTGTTTTGAGCACCAGAAAAGAGAAGATATGAGAAGCATCTATATGACAGAAAGAAAGAGAGGAAAGATATGCATGCGATGGTAGCCGGAACGACCTATTACCTTACAGATTATAATAGTTTTATGAGAAACAAACATTTTCCTTACTGGAAAATAGGTGGTACAACCCTTGTACCACCGGTCCCAAAGGGTTAATGGGATATAATTCAGATGTTCATAAACAAGAAATTTTTTTTCATTAGAAAAGAATTGATAATTTTTTTGAGGATTCTGGAATAATATAAACTATTAACATTTATTAGTCTTTATTTTGTTGTACAAGTTACATATTAACAAGTAAAATGATAAAAAATCACTATTAAACGACGAAATTTATGATGATCGCAACCGACAAGACTTTTTATTTATAGTATCCTGAAACTTTTTACTTTGTCTATACGAGACATATTGCTGTCCATAAATATTAGATTGGAATAGTAGAGAAATGATGCCTTGATTCTATTTTGTCGTGATAGTAAATATTTAAAAAAAGAACAATTTACTTAATGGAACAGTCCTGAATATGTAGATTAATGACTCCAAATGTCCAATAGAAAGATTGTATGAGCAATAACGTTACGTTTAAATTTAGATAGATGATAAACGACATCTTAAACATATCAAATGGAATAGATCTGGACAAATGTTTATTCGTCCTTTTGGATTAACATCAGATAAAGCTACAAGTGAAATACATATTAATAATCTGCAGCAAATAGCCACAGAAAATAGCTGGTTCTTACATCGTAGCGTATTAACAATTATCTCAGACAATGGTCCTGATTGGAAAACAGATTCCATGGCAAATATTTACAATTTTGGAAGATTTTGGGAAGAAAATAAATTGGATGCATTAATCTGGGTGAGTTACGCACCAGGCAACAGCAGGTACAATCCAATCGAAAGAATGTTTTCACATTTAACAGATTTAATAGCGAATGTAATAATTGATCTTGATCCAACATTTTCAAATATTAATCATCAATTAGATTCAGCATTAATTGAGTTAAATAAATATTGGCATACTAAAAAGTACGATAAATTTAAAATTGATTGTAGATCTGTATTTTCTGTTAATGGAAATTCATTTGATGGCCATCAAGAATTAAAAGATACATTATTGAAAAGTTCTATTAAACATATTATGAACGAAGAGAACGATAATATTCGCTTTAATCTTCAGTTATATCTTCGTCATTGTGTTAGATCATCATATTATGTATCATTCATTAAATGTACAGATTCTACATGCGTTCATTGTTCTCGCCATCCAGTTAGAGCAAAAAAAACCATTGAACTTCTACGATCATGTGGAAATTACTTACCATGGCCACAGATGACTTTACACAAATATCATTATGATACATTCTTACAACGAACATATGCACTACTGGCTGGTGAAAACAATGCTGTACCAGATCAACAATTACCATCAGGACCAACAAAACATTGTTCTGCATGCAAATTACCATACATTTTTTCGTCCAAAGCTGACGAAGAACGACATATGATGTGGATACATCAATCAAATGTAACATCAAACATCAAACAACAAACGAAAACATTTATCATCTTCGAGATCACAATCTATATGTCAACCAAAACAACGAAAAACTAGAACACGTGAGCTTTCTCCTGAGTACCAGAAAGAATACATGGAATATTCTCAAATAATATTGTTGTTTTATTTGTTAATGTGTAACTTATGTCAATAAATAAAGACTAATAAATATCATTAATTTAAGTTATTCAAAAATCTCAATAAAAATAACTGTATTTTTAATGAAAAAAATTCTCATTTATGAACATGTAAATAGTAGCCCATTAAAATGTATGCATACATGAACATTCATTATTTTAATATGCAATCAATATCTTGATTAGTGAATAATACGTTTAAAGAGAGTAATTGATAATTTATAAAGAAAAAAAAGATCAATCACGAACGAAAAGAAAATGTACAGTCAAATGTTCGGCAATATGTATACAGAGAAAAGAATGAATAAAAGGAAGGGAGAGTGAAGAAATAGAAAAATAAGGAATAAGGGAATCAGGGAATGAGGAATAAGAGAATAGAGGAATACGGAATAAAGGAATAGCGGAACGATGGAGTAAAGGAATGAAGGAATAACGACCGACCGACCGGAATACATTTTGAAGTGCTCCCTAATATGAACTAGTTGTTTATTTCTACGATCATAAGTTAGATCATTTTTTCATTCTTCCTATCATTTCAGGTCAACCTTATTGCTCTGTTATATTTCAACGTTTCATTCTGTTACTGTACTTCCTTTTTTGTTTTTCATTTATTCCATCTGTTTTTTTTTCATACATTTTTCTTTATGTTACCGTTTATTTTTTCTTTGAGATGAACTTGTAATCCTATAAAAAGTTTTTCAATTTCATTGAAAATCTTTTTTTTCCTACCGGGAAGGGTGTTATGACATGACATCTATATATATATGTGTTGTTATTCTATTCTGTTTTCTTTCCTTCTTCTTTTATGTTATACATATATATATATGCATGCATCATTATGTACTGGGGGTGATTCTTTAGTTTAAAAGAAATAAACAAAGTTTATGTTCTACTAGAATGAACCTATTTTGCCCTTAATGAAAAGTAGAACATAACAAATAGTATTCATCGAAATTGGAATAATCAAGACAGATATTACATAGTTGGACAATTATAGTTGAAATGAAAATTTTGAAGTAACAAATCGGAACAATTTAAAGGGAAAAAAAGCATTACTTTGAGAATTAAAAAGTGTGATAACAATATTTCGCAAAAAGACTAAGTTAGAAAGTTGAACATATTTTAAACTAATCTTTTCTATTGAGTATTCGAAAATGATGGAACATGCTTCTATTGATAGAAATACATAGTTTTGTAAAGAATTAAAAGCATAATCTTTTGATGAAAAAGAATCGGTTTCAAAATGATCAAAACTGGATGAGATATGGAAAAAAATGCTAACATCGTTATTATTCTGAGGTACTCGTTACATGTCGAAATCAGGATGTGGGTGTGGGTCTTCTCTGTATCAACCCAAAGCCACACCCCATGCCCACACCCCGATTGTTCCGAGTCATGTTTTCGATTTTTGGCAACTCTCAAGTCGAGTGATCATTTTTTTTGTTGGTCATCTATTTGACAGGATTATATTTTGATTATTCATACTGTTCTTGAATGTCTCTTTTGAAGTTAACAAGGACAAAAAAAGGCATGAGTATGATGCAAGTCAATATCCAGGAGAAAGAAAGAAAGAAAAAGAGTCAACGAGATAAAGTATTTTTTCAGTGCAAATAATCATTCAACAGGCGTGCGTGTGTCTATATAAAAACAATCGAAACATAATCGTTACCACAACAAGAAGAATAATGGGGAAGCTCGATGGAAAAGTTGCTCTTATTACAGGCGGTTCTGAAGGTATTGGCTTGGCCACTGCTCAACGATTTATCACCGAAGGTGCAGAACATGTCTTTATCACCGGACGTCGTCAAGAAGTACTCGATGAAGCTGTTAGAAAGATCGGTAGCAAAAATGTGACGGCAGTGCAAGGTGATGTCTCAAACATGGCTGATCTCGACAGATTGTACGACATTATTCAGAAAGAAAAAGGTCGTTTAGACATTGTTTTCGCCAATGCAGCTAACAATCCGAATGCGCCACTTGGAGCGATCACTGAAAAGCATTTTGATGATTTAATCAACACCAATGTGAAATCAGTATTGTTTACTGTTCAAAAAGCTTTGCCAATATTAGTGGATGGTGGATCCATTATCTTAACCGGATCTATCGGTTCTATGAAAGCTACTCCAACTGCGAGTGTCTACTGTGCTACAAAGGCAGCTGTTCGCTCTTTCGCCCGATGTTGGACGGTCGATTTGAAGGAGCGAAAAATCCGGGTGAATACACTGAGTCCAGGACCAATTGAAACACCAATGTTAAAACGTGCAGGAAATAGTGAAGCAGAAAACAAAGCGTTCACCACAGGTATGATAGCTCGTTCACCAATGAATCGCTTAGGTACGCCTGATGAAATTGCCAAAGCTGCAGTCTTTCTCGCTTCGGACGATAGCAGTTACATCACGGGTATTGAACTGTGTGTCGATGGTGGCTTAGCACAAATCTGACATATTTATTTTATCAACTCAGTTTGGAATACAACATTTTGTTTCTTGTGACCATTGAGCTTTCAGTACGCATTTTTTCAGTATAGGAATGCCTATGCTATGATGTGCAAATAGAAAAATACAATGATTGATAAAATTATTTATGATTTTAAAAAAGTCAGACGCTTTAAGAAAACCTTTAAATCAGAGGGTGTGGGTGTGGATGTAGGTGTGGGGCGTGGGTGGGGTGAGGTGGAGGTGTTGGTTTGGGTTTGAATAGAAGAT